AGGGGCATTCTAGTCTATTTGTGTAACATTATGTAATACACTTATTAATAATAGAGTAGGGCCGGCTGAGAGATTATTGCCGCCATTCTCAACTCACCTTCTTCTTCTTCTTCTTCTTCTCTTCTCCTTCGGCAGCTTCATTCCAGCAAACACTTAGAACAGACTCAAATCTTTTTCCCCGACAGATCACCGAGTTCCTCCATCCTTCTTCCCGGATGGAATTAACAGTTCCATCAGCAAATCCTTTCAACCAAAGACACACTTCACCTAGTAGGAAGACTGTTGCCCTGCTGCCTTCTCTGATTTTCAGATGAGCCTCCCCCTTTGTCCTTCCATGCTCGAATAGGAATTTTTTTGCTTCAATGGACGTCTCCACATGCCACCTCCCTGTCGGCCTGAAGTTTCTCTCCTCTCCCGTACTCCCCATCTCACCTCCCTTCTTCAAACGTATTTCTCTAACTGACCTACAAAGAAATTTAGCAGAAGTCCCCTACTCCTCTCCTGGAAATGGTTTAACTCAAACACTTCATTCTACATCATCATATGAATGTTCCTAAACGATTCTGGAGTGATGTAGTCCTTACTACTTGTTTTCTCATTAATTGCATGCCCACGTTCATTATTGATGGTCGTTCTCCGTTCTCTACCTTGTTTCCTACTTTGTCTCCATACCCCCTGACTCCCAGGATCTTTGGGTGTTTGTGCTTTGTTCAGAATCTTGGTCCTGGTTTAGACAAGTTGGATGCTCGCTCCATTAAATGAGTAGTCGTACAAGACTATAGAGACTCTTTAGGTTTTGAACAGAAAATAAAAGAGAAGAAGAAAAAGAGAAGAGAAGAGAAGAAGAGAGATAGAGAAGGGGCACTCGTGGGAGAAGCTTTGAAAGAAGAGAGTGGTTGGAGTGCTTAAAACAGCCACCCCACTCCTTAATTTATATACATAGTTTCCTAATTGTAAAAGAACTTTAATGCTTACATGGCAATAAAAGATAAGATTAAAATAAAACTAATCCTAGATAAGATAGAATAAAACTAATCCTACTAGGAAAGCTGATCCTAATCAATTAAATCTAAGTACATCTTAGGGTGTCACACGAATACACTTAATGTGCGGTCCACAGTTTCCTACAAAATGTATCTTCCTTGGCTACTCTATGACCCAGAAAGGGTATAAATGCTACAATCCTATTACTCGGAAATCCTTTGTTTGTCCTAATGTTACATTTTTTGAATCGGTGCCATTACTTCTCTGGTTCTGATATCCATCCTTTGCCTACGGAGGTTCCTCTTCCCTTTCTGGTTGATAATTCCATTCCGGTGGTTCCCCTTGTGCCTGAGTCTCCCCCGTTCCCATTGCAGGAGCGTACTGAAAGACCACCAATTTGTTAAATGTATACTCATCAATAGAGACCAGCACCTCGACCATCTTCTACTCCGGCAGCAGATCCAGCACCTTCCACAATTGAATTGGCTTTTGGTCTTGACCTTCCTATTGCATTGCGGAAAACGTAGCTGCACACTACACCCCATATCCAATTATGTTTTTGTATCTCACATTTCTACTTCCCATCGCTAGTTTATTACCCTGTTGTCCTCTGTATCCATACCTAAGGATGTTCAGGAGGCTCTCACATCGCCAGGGTGGCGAAAAGCTATGGAAGAGGAACTCTCTACTCTTCATCACAATCCATACATGGGAATTCACCACTCTTCCCCCAGGTAAGCATGTTGTTGGTTGTAAATGGGTGTATGCTGTTAAGTATCTACTAGATGGGAGAGTGGAATGCCTGAAAGCTCGTTTAGTTGCAAAAGGGTACTCTCAATTTTATGGTGTAGATTATGTCAAAACCTTTTTTCTCCAGTTGCAAAGATTGGCTCCGTACGTGTGTTGATTTCCTTTGTTGTCATTGCATGATTGGCCTCTATTTCAGCTTGATATTAAAAATGCCTTTCTCCATGGGGATCTTCTAGAAGAGGTGTACATGGAGCAACCACCAGAGTTTGTTGCTCAGGGGGAGGATGGTAAGGTGTGTAAGCTCAAGAAGGTGATTTATGAGCTCAAACAGTCTCCCCGTGCTTGGTTTGGAAAATTTAGTGAGGTGGTGAAGGAGTTTGGAATGAGACAATGTCAAGTTGATCATTCAGTATTTAGCTATGACTCTGTGGCCAGGAAGATCTTGCCGATAGTTTATATGGATGACATAGTCATAACTGGCAGTGATAGAGTTGAGATTGATAGATTCAAGACTTTCGTACAAGATCACTTTTAGACAAAAGATCTTGGAAAGTTGAAGTATTTCCTGGGTAAAGAAGTTGCTAGATCAAAGCAAGGCATAGTCCTCTGTCAGTGGAAATATGTGAAGTTGGGAAACCAGTTGAAACAGGGTTGCTAGGTGCTAATCCAGCTGAAACTCCCATGGAACTGAATGTGAAGTTGGGAAGTGACAGGTGAATTGTTTGATAACCTAGGAAGGTATAGAAGGTTAGTGGGAAAACTGAATTGTCTAACTATCACTAAGCCTGATATCTCATTTGTTGTTAGCGTGGTAAGCCAGTTTATGCAGAGTCCTTGAGTACCTCACTGGGATGCAGTTCTTAGGATTGTGCGGTATTTGAAGGGGGCTCCAGGTCGTGGGTTACTACTGTACAAGCCAGGATTTGTATCAGACAGAAGACCCGCCGACGCAGATTGGGCTGGATCTGTATCAGACAGAAGATCCACTACAAGTTATTGCACCTTTCTTGGAGGAAATCTTGTGACTTGGAAGAGCAAGAAGCAGAATGTGGTAGAAAGGTGCAGTGCAGAAGCAGAATACAGGGCCATGGCTCACACTGCATGTGAACTAGTGTGGTTGAAGAATCTATTGCAGGAAATCGGGTTCTCAATAAGCAAACCCATGAAGCTATACTGTGACAATCAAGCTGCAATTCACATCTCATCCAACCCAGTTTTCCATGAGAGAACTAAACACATAGAGGTAGATTGTCACTTTGTAAGGGAAAAGGTCATCAATGGTGTGATAAGGACAGAGCATGTGAGAACAAGTGATCAATGGGCAGATCTGTTCACAAAAGGGTTGAGTTCAGGAAGAGTGAGCTACATATGTAACAAGCTGGAATTATATGATATATATTCTCCAGCTTGAGGGGGAGTGTTAGAGTTGACTAAACAGGGGCATTTCAATCTTTTCCATATCAGTAATGTATGAGTTATATGCCTTCTGTCTAGGCAGGGGCATTTATGTCCTTGTACACTTATTTACTAAGTCTAAATATATGGTCGACTGGGTTAGACTCTTTGTCTTCTCAGTTCGACACTTTTCTCCTTTCTCTCTCTTCTCAGTTCGGCTGAACACTAACACTTACCAAACAAAGGATATGACAGTGAATAAAGAATAGTGGAAGCCCATATACTTGGGACAAGGCTTAGTTGAGTTGAGTAGTTTAACCAAACAAAGGATGGCAGTGAACAGAGAAGAAGGATATTTATATGTTGGATGATCCATTAAGGAATTCTTTCATTTAAGTTTAGCACTTCTTAAGCATAGAGGAGATTAGAACAAGGAACTTATTACTTATCAAAAAAAAAAAAAAGGACTTGAACAAGTAACCGAAGTATTCAATGTGAAATCTATAGAAACTTTTCCACTATAAGAGAGAAGAACAAAGAATTCTTTGTTTGGTTGCCAGGACTCCAGCTACTCAACAGCTTTATATATGAAGCCGTACAATCTCAATGTCTGATTATAGCAAGTAAACTTTCAATTCCAGCACTTCATCCAGATTTAGTAAAATGTTATAGTAGTTAGTACTTAAAGGCCAAGATACATTTACATAATATGCAACCTGATACTTACTTTGTTATTATTTATGTGAATAGCAAGGGCTAATATCTATCTTTTTTTTTTTGTTTCAGATAACAACACTTGAACCCATGATTGCAGGATTGCAAGAAGCATTGCCAAAATCTATTGGACTGCTTCCTTTTGATGGAGGTGTTGCAGGTATAAAGTATTGTACATGTAACCAATATTCGGAAAATAATTGTTGTATCATAAATGGTACCCAAGGTTGAACTAAATCAAATAATGAATCACCATAGATTATAAAATCATTACTACTTTTTATAAATTTGCAATAGTCAATTTTGACTTGAAAGTCCATTAACCCACGTAATGGCTGTTTAAGCTTCATATGATGGAGAAATAACTTGATAAGKTTTCTTAATAACTAAATTAATCTTATAGTAGTAGGGGTCTGAAAACCAGAACTCCTTGAAAAAATTAAAAAGGAAAAAAAGGGATGACAAACTATAGAACTAGGTCTGCATTGAATTTATTCAAATTGCATAAATCATACAAACTTTAATATTCATGAATCAAGTCATATAATTCAAACAGTAATTATATGGTTCTTTTTTAGAAAAGGGTTCATACATAAGATTCAAATTGGAACCTCATGATTGAAATCATGATCATATACAATTCTAACAACTAGTACTTGTAACCCAACATTAGAACTAGGTTGTTAAGTATAGCTTTTGTTTCTCCCACGGTTTAAGCAGTTCTCTTTATTTTGAAAACTAGGTAGGTTTTTGCGAAGGAGAAAAGGAGGAATTGACAAATTTACAGAGGGGTGGTATCCCTGTTTGAAAAGGTCTCCAACCTCAAAGTAAATTGGAGCAAAAGTTGTGTAGCAGGGTTAAGTCAGGAGAGAGGAGAGGTTGAAAGCTTAGCTAGCTTGTTGTATTGTGAAGTAGGTGAATGGCCATAGTACCTTGGTCTACCTTTGGGAGGGAACCCCACTTCTGTCAGCTTCTGTGATCCGGTAGTGGAAAGATTCACAAAAAGGCTTGCTGGCTGGAAGAGAAACTACATTTCTCTAGGAGGTAGAATAACCCTAATAAAGTCAACATTGACTAATTTGCCAGTCTATTACCTCTCAACCTTTAGGGTCCCCTTAAAAGTGGCCAATAAACTGGAGAAACTGATGAGAGACTTCTTGTGGGAGCCAGGGGATACAAAAAAGGATCATTTGGTAAAATGGGAGGTGGCTTTAAGGAGTAGGGATAGTGGAGGCCTAGGGGTAGGAAACATTAAACTAAGGAATTTGGCACTGCTGGGTAATGGTTGTGAAGATTTCCCTTGGAACAAGACAACTTATGGCATAAGGTCATTGTAAGTGATAACACTCAGATTAGATGTTCGTATATCAGAAGAAAGAGAAGGAAAAGAGAGAGAGAGAGAAGGAGAAGAAGAAAGAGAAGAAAAAGGAGAAAAGTCACAGCCAAACTAGAGAGAAAAAATCAAATCCCTCTAGTCGGCCCTTCTTTTATTTATACTCTTCTAAGATATACAGGATTACCATTGTGCCCTCACTTAAGTGAGAGCCACATCAGCTGAGCAATACATATATAACTAAACATAAAAGAACTGTACTACCCTTGTACAGCCGACTCTAACACTCCCCCTCAAGCTGGTGAGTATATGTCATATAGTCCCAGCTTATTACAAATTGTAGTCCACTCTTCCCCGATTCAACCCTTTGGTAAACAGATCTGCCCATTGATTTCCTGTGTTCACATATGTTGTACTTATCACTCCACTAAGTACCTTTTCGCGTACAAAGTGGCAATCCACTTCTATGTGCTTTGTCCTTTCGTGAAACACTGGGTTAGAGGAGATATGAACTGCAGCTTGGTTATCACAGTATAGCTTCATAGGAGTGTCAATCGAGTATCCCATCTCCTCTAGTAGATGCTTCAACCACACAAGTTCGCATGTCGTGTGAGCCATAGCCCTATATTCAGCCTCTGCACTGCTTCTTGCTACCACTGTCTGCTTCTT